GTAGCTCAGATGACTGCGAAAACCATCATCCTTGGGGCTTGGAAAACTACTAGATGCGGACATTTTTGTACATGTGTCACGCGTGGCATCTAATGGTATGCTGTTTAGGGTTTAGGGCTACTGTTTAGGGTTTAGGGTCATCTAATGGCATACTGTTTAGGGTTTAGGGTTAAGGTTTAGGGCTTAGGGTCATCCAATGGTATACTGTTTAGGGTTTAGGGTTCAGGTTTAGGGCTTAGGGTCATCTAACGGTATACTGTTTAGGGTTTAGGGTTTAGGGTCATCTAATGGTATACTGTGTAGGGTTTAGGGATTAGGGTCTTCTAATTATACTGTTTAGGGTTTAGGGTTGAGGTTTAGGGCTTAGGGTCATCTAATGGTATACTGTTTAGGGTTTAGGGTCCTCTAATGGTGTACTGTGTAGGGTTTAGGGTTTAGGGTCATTTAATGGTATACTGTTTAGGGTTTAGCGTCATCTAATGCTATACTGTTCAGGGCTAAATGTCATCTAATGGTATACTGTTTAGGGTTTAGGGTCGGGGGGACCTAGCAAGTAGGCTAATAATCGTGGCTTATATGCGTTAAAGGTATGCTTGCTAAGCCCCCCTGACGCTCCAAGTAATGACAATTCGGGCATATCAGGGCCATCCACTTTGGAAAGCTATACTTCAATGGGTCCAAATGAGGGGATCTATCATGCTGAAGCTAAGTTGGATCAACACCCATTTGAGGGGGAGGGGGCCAGGAGGCTTCGGCGCCCGCAAGCCTCACCTCTAAACCTTGAATGGCCCCACTGATATGTAGCTCCTCCTGAGATCATATATTCCAATCTCTTACCCCACCGACCATAAGAAGCCCCAAAAGGAAGAACATAGGAGTAGACCCTAGTCCCCCAAAGCTTTGGACATTAGATCTTATGACTTATGACCCCAAGCCCTAAACTCTGAAGCCTGCACCTTTACACTTCTGCAGCTTAATGTCTGCACAGTGAAGCCCATGAACCCACAGGCCCTCAAAAACCTAATACGCGTACATGGGTTACTTTGGGTGCATCGTACACAGATGCAATGAGCTTCCAGCAATTGAGCCGTACTTCCGTGAGCAAAGGCCGACGAAGTCTTCCTGAGGCAGTTTCACTGACAGGCTGAGGCTTCAGGACCGTGGAGCTTTCAGGATTTAGGGTTTGGGCTGTAGGTTTCAGAGTTTAAGGTTCAAGGGTTTGTGTTTTTTGGGGTTTGGGGTTTTAGAGTTTAGGATTTGGGTTTTAGGTGTTGGGTTTTTGGGTTTTGGGGGGGTGGGTTCAGATGGCGACTTGAAACAAGCCAGCTCTGTCTTCTTTGGTGGCTTGGGCGCTGCGCGGAATATGTGGTGCTGTTGTTGATACTAGAAGTCCTACATGACCCTAGTATATGATAGAGCTATAGTTCCGAAGGTTTAGGTTGCTTAAGGTCATGCAGGATTCTTAGTATCCACCGTATGTAAGATGAGGAATCTGCAGAGTCCTTAGTAAGACTACAGGTACTACTCCCCAGCGAGTTTTTGCCCGGAAACAAACCCTTCCCGCATTTAATCAGCGCTCGTGTGTTGTCTTGTAAGTCTTCAAGCAGGCGGTTTCCTGAAACTGATAGAGACGAACATAAGACCGAAGGCAAGAAGGCAACTGATTGGAGCCGAATCATCATACCCTAAAACCTAAATCATAAACCTGAATTGCTACGAGCATTTTTCCTGATCCTCATCCTCGTGTATTGTTCCATCATGTAGCCCAGGACAGTGAATGGTAGTTTCCCAACATAGGGGGACCCTAATATAGACCCCAAACCAATATAATCCTTGGTACAGGGACCCCCAAAAAAGTACTCCTAATTTGGGGAAACTCAAATGCCCTATAACATCCCTATAATATGCCAATATAACTCGTGTATCCCCCAAAAACGTATCCCCCAACTTTGGGAAATCCCCCTCGTGGGGTGTGGGGCTCCAGGGAACTGAGCAGGGCACCACTGGCTCAGGCTCCTGTTTCGGAGGCATGTACCTCAGCCATGATTAAGGGTTCGTAGGGCTTTGGATTTAAGACCTAGGGTTTAGGAGTTTAGGATTGCGGCCTTGGGGCTTAGGAGTTTGGGCTTGGGATTTCGGGCTTAAGGCTTAGGGTCCACGATTTAGGATTCAGATCCTACTCACCCTGCTCAGATAAGCAATAATCCTTTTGTCATGCTGCGGAATTCTCTGCAGGATCCTCCATTTGGGCTACACACGCTGCCCCCAAATTACAAACCCTGTGCTAGAGACGACCCAAAAGGTGCCCCTGAATGTTGGGACACTCAAATTCCCATAATGTCCCTATAATATCCCTATGTAACCTCTACATGCCCCAAAATGGTACCCCGAATTTTGGGAAAGCTGACCAACCCTAAACCCCTAAACCCTAATCACTAAACCCTAGATCCTAAACCGTAATTGGCCGAGCTACGTGCGGCATCTCTTGACATAGTCCGGGGACTTGGCGAATTGCCAACCACGCCCTGAAGAAGGGCATGGTCAACAGGAGTCTAAGGGATTTGGAACCCCAGNNAAATCATAATTTCAGCTAAATATTAGGATTGTTGGTAACAGAAATTAACAAGTATTTTCAGGAACCTTGTAGAGGAATCTTTCTGTAAGTTTGGGTTTAAGGGTTTAGGGCGTTGGCTGGATGGTTTAGGGTTTATAGGGGTTCAGGAGGCAGGGTGTAGAAGTTTAGGGGTTTAGGGTTTAGGGCTTAACTCTCTTCCCCGATAACCAGGCCTAACAAAGTTTAAGCTTCATTCTAAAAGACCCAAAAAGGAGGCCCAAAAAGGCTTAAGTTCTTCTATTGGCTAAGTAAGTTAAGGAGGAAGTCTTGCAGCCACAGCTCACGAACGTAACCCGGCAGGGCAGCCGAGCCCGAAACGGATTTGAAAGAAGAAGCCTTTTTCCGTTCGCCTCGCAGCAATGCGCGGCATTCAAGGGGAGGTTTGTGCCTTGAGTATTACCAGCTTCATTCTGAGGTCTTATTTGAGGTACCTATACTATACTAAGTATACTATACACAGACTCTTGGAACGCAACATTTAGTTGGAAATTCTCCCTAAGCCCCTGTATGATACCACTTTCCGTTTCATCATTCACTTTTGCTTTCCAGCTGACTCTCCATTATCCTAGACCTTACATAACCTTGTTTTGGGCTTTGTATCCCCGTACTTTGACACCTTTACCGTACCATCATGACCTGGACGCGGGCTTCTATCCCTAAGTGTTTGGATAGACCATTTAGGGTTATGTCAAGGACCTCTTGTGTGACGGACTCGGACTCTACAACTGCGGGACGGGTAGATAGAAACCCTGTGGCCTTTGGTTAGCTGGGAATGAAGGAATGGACAAGAAAATGAAAACTACCATAATGGGTTATATAGGGACTATCATAAGGATCCATTCCTTCATTCCGAGCTAACCAATGGTAAGTGATTAGGGCACATGTCGAATTGATACACTCAATGTCAGCAACTGAGGCACATGCTCCTCAATTGACAATTCGAGCATGGGCTTCTCGAATCCTGCAAGCTCGCTAAAGGTCAAGTCAACTGCCTCTCCACGTCCTCGTGAAGAAGCAGCACATGTTGCAGTATTGTTGTGCAACCACGGCTGTGGCAATCACCACGAACTTCTGAATCACTGAAGTTACAGATATGAAGCCCTAAACCCTAAACCACGTGGCGGCGCCAGCTATGTAAGCCCCATCTTTCCTCCGAGCTCCGGTGGCACAGCTGCACCCATTTCAATCTCAACTTCATACCTCAAACCCTAATTGCACACCAGCAAGCCAAGGTGGGGCCTGGCTGCGTAAAAAAGAGCCACACAAAGAATACAGAAGCCCTAACTGATAGGGTATATTGGGGATATATTGGGGTAATGGAAAAGAAAATGGAAACTACTATTTAGGGTTTAGCCCTGATTGTTTTGTCGTGATCCGTTGCCTATTCTACTGCCGAAATATCTGGAAAAACTTATCGCCGTCTGATCGACACCCCCATCCCTTCTTAACTGGCGCACGTTAGGCGTCTAAGCCAATAGTTAGAGTGGTGTCCTGGCATTTGGCGAATACTTTGCTACACAATGTGAGGATCATCAGGGATTACATCGGCAGTCATCCAAGCTTCGATTCTACAGCAAGCATCATGTACAGGTGGTAACAGAAACGGGAGAAAGAATAGTATCAATAGAAGCAACAGCACTACAAAGCAAATAATCGTAGTAGTAATAGAATTACAAGTAATCACAGGAAAACTTATATGATAGCAGGCCCTAAGCCCTAAACCCTAAACCCCAAGCCCTAAACCCTAAAGCCCTAAACCCTAAGCCCTAAACACCCTAAACCCTGATAATAATTTCTGTCCTGGCCGCTTGGTCGGTTCCTTAGCAGCACAGCCACAGCTCTGCTGGCCCAGCCCCTAACAAACTAATCTCCCTGGCCTGCAGCAAGCAACATGGGCGTTTCTCCAGATGAAGGCATCTAGGGATGAGAAATTGCTAGGTCACAAATCGCCAAGAGAGGAGGTGTATTTGGAGCCGGACGAATACTCATCTCATGATTGTGCATCATAAGTGAGGGTGGATTCTTGCCTGCGCTACCGTCAACATTGTTGTTTAGGTGAGTGCCCCCGCTCACTAAGAGTGATGACGAACAGAAGACTGATAAGTTTGTATACTAAGGTCCCCATATCAGAGGTTCATCAAGCCCTCAGACTCGCACTATTGAAGATGCACATACTCTCAGTGCAGCCCATTCACCAGAGAGCGCGAAAATGCGCAAAATCATCAGCGCGGTGACACAAGAAGAGTAGCATTAGTGTTGCGGACATTGACAGCAGTACTTCATCATTATTTGGCTCTGCTCAACGCGTCACTATACTTTACATTATGTGGCAGGAGCTACTAGCAGTTTGTTCAATGCTTGGAAAGCAGAGGCGCGTTGCTGCGGCTTAGGCCACGACACTCAGCATCCGGAAGTCGTTGGAGAGGAAAGCCTACATGAGCTACATTCAATCTTACCCAGATAATCGATGGACATGGGCTCCTTATTTGGAACTCTACTAAACTAAACTACACGAGGGACCCCTATGTCCACCCTTAGTATGGTCCCTGGTAAGCCGAATATAGACAGAGCTCTCATGACATTCGAAGTGTGAGAGAGCCATGATGCTCATCAGTGGGCAAGTTTGAAGAACGCAGCTTGTCAACCTTAAACCCCAAACTCAAAAACTCTAAACCTTTGACTAACCTCTTCTTGTCCACCAGGTGCACCCAGCTGCTCGTTGTGACGTCTGAAACTCACAAATCAATGGTCTGAGACTCTAAGTAAGTAAAGATGTGTGTGTATAGATACATATATATATATATCGACACATACGTGTTTCCGTGGATACTACATGTAGACACATACGTGCATGCAGATGAAGCAGATGCATATTCCCATATCTGTACACATGTACGTGTCGTATACAGTACACCAATGCATACATACATACATACATACATACATACATGCATGCATGCATACATACATACATACATACATACATACAAACCCCCTCCCCCGCCTCGGACGTGCGCATACGTATACGCCATCCTTATGAACCCACAGCGCCTTGAAGGCTTTGCGATCGAAGTCTCGTAAGCTCAGGAAGGACCCCGAGGCTGGGGGCCTCGCAAAAATCAGGGAATCTAAGGGTAGGGCTTGGCGTATATACTTATGTATATGTATGTACACATACACGTATATACATACACATATTTACATAGATATATATATATATAGATACAAATATAAACATATCGTTTGATAGCCTTTGGGTTTACAGGGCTGCTCTATAGGGTTCAAGGTTAGCTTGTAGGATTCGCGTACAAAGTTTTTGGTTTTGGGTCTTTGGCGCTTCGAGGGTTTGAGGCGTTGGGTTACTTAGGATTTCTAGGCTTCGGAGGCTTGAAGACATCTGACGCTTGGGAGCCTTCTCGGATAATGCTTGTTTCAAGAAGCGGGTCCATGTATGGGATTCTGACAGGTCCCCATGTTACTAGTTTTGAGGAGCTCCCATGTCATGATTTTGGGCGATACCGCGATACCTCGCGTGTTCCACGAATTGCTCCTCAGCTGAGATGCTGCTCGAATTTATGGCCCATTTTTTGGATGAGGCTTTAGCTCACGAATGGAGGCATCATGGGACTTCTGTGAGTCTACTTCTCCCAAGAGGGGATCTGCACATCACCAAAAACAGCTTGCGGATCCAAACGAGGAGCCAGAATTACGGTCAACCTTTCACCTTTCTGGGGTTGGGGGGGCTGATGCCCTAAACCCTCCCCATAGCGGCACATGGGTGATTCCGAACCGCGTGTTAGGGTCCCGGGGGGTCGTAGCTTACAGTTTTTATTTGAGGGTGTAGGGTTGGGGTTTTGATTGCTTTGATTCGGTGGCTTCGGGCCGCAAACCAAGAGATGTCCAAAAACCGGTGGTCCCATTTCGGGGGTTACAGAAAATTTGGGAGTGCATAGGGGGACCCTAATATTTGGCAACAGCCATAACCATACACCCTGAACCCTACACCATAAGGGCCATAACGAGGAGTCCCACTAAACATCCCTAGACCATAAGGGATATGACAAGGAGTCCCGCACTAATAAACAGCCAGCCAAAGCGGCCTCAGCAAGTGGAAGAGAGTCTGGGCAGCAGCTTCCTTGAGGAAACCGGCCTCGTGGCAAGTTGGCTTGGGTTTAGAATTAGGTTTTTGTGTTACTCCTGAACAAAATCCTAGCTTCCTATTCAATATTGATCTTATTATTGTGATTCAAACTCGGAATTGGTTTTCAACAGTGACCCAGTTCAATGTTCGTGGGCAATTATGTTGCACAGATATTTGGGAAACCAGCCCCGACTCTTGCAACATGACCTCGCTCCAACTCCGATCTTCCGATGAGCTCTTCTTTCCAAGGATGATGAACCCTTGTCTGACCCCAGGCGGAATGCAGTTAGGGTTTAGGGGTAAGGGTTTTGGGACATGCCCAGCACCCTAAACCCTAAACCAAGCATCATACTTGCCTGGCATAAGAGGGTGTCAGGGTGTCATGCTTTGGCAGCTGGCGCTTCTGAACCCAAAGAGCGCGTCACCAAGTGAGCCTACAAGCTTCTCTGGGCTGCCTACCCGCAGGATGGGTTAGTTTCTCGAAATAACCGTCATATAACTCCTGATGAACCCAAATGATAATAAATGAGGAGCCCCATAACTCATCCAGAGTTCCCAGGGTCCCGTCACGGCTCGCCCTTTTGAGAAACCCCCATGTATGAGTTGCGGCATCAACAGGCAAAAACCCTAACCCTAAACCCCGCACCAAGGGCTTAGCCTTTTTGCAGGCCGCCACAAACTGGTCCTCATCCACGTGGCCAATTCCCTCCACCTTGCAAACTTGACTAAGAAAAACCCCGAATCCTATGGTAGGTGGAGGAAATTTTGCAACACTTAAGATCCAATTTACTGTAACTTTCTAAAGGCAAGCTATATAGGGTGGCGGACGATTTCTTGGATCCAGCGTATGGATCCACACCGGGGTACTGGATACCTTGAAGCAGGTAAAAAGGCATATGCAAACCGTTTGACACACAACGGGCCCCCAATCTAGACCCCAGAATGCCAAAACCCTGAATTATCGGGCCAGGGACTCCCACCCTAATTCTAGGAAGCCCTAAACCTTAAACCCTAAACCCTGTATATCCCTATATAACCCCCATATTCCCCCATTAAAGGTGCCCCTAATTCTAGGAAGCCCCATACAACAAAAGTTTCAAGAGAGCTGCTGCGGCGGTTTGAGGATGGGACGTCCACTCCTGTCATCCAAGCTCGCAGCATGTTCCCATAAACCTGCAGGCGTTTAGGGTTTAGGGTCTAGGGGTTTAGGGTTTAGGGGTTTAGGGTTTAGGGGTTTAGGGTTTAGGATGCGGGCGCAGCTTGACATGGGTCAACTTTTCGTCCCCTCCCCATAGATTAGATAACCCTAAACCCTAAAACAAAACCCTAGAACCCTAAACCCTAGCCACCAGCATGCCTAAACCCTGTATTGTAGCCACACAGAAAAGCAGGGCATGAACAGGGAGACGTATATGTAGTGGTGGGGCGATTTTGCGTCGCGGAAGTACTCCTGCTAATGGAGGACACCTTGTATCGCGTCTGTCCTTTTTGTATTGCCCATGATATACTTGTAGGTTATCCTAAATGAAGCAAGACTTGTTCCTGTTACCCGAGTGGTGTGGTCTCCAGAGCATCGCCTCCTGGAAACAGGATCGCATCTCCGACCAGAGGGAAGCAGTCTCCTGTTGGCTGCATCGTGAACTGAGAGAATATGAGGCGGGGCATTATAACAATGGATACGGAATATGAGGAAGTGGCATATTATACTACAAATAAAAAGATTGTGAGTATATAAGTGCAGACGTATGTGTATATATACATACTCTCTACATATCTATATCTATATCTGTATGTATATATATATACATATATATAATGTATGTGATGCAGATGTTAGAACTACGGCTACAGTACTGTAGGGTGTTAGTGGGCAGGGTGAGAGCCTAACCTCCCCCTTTCTCACCCAAGCTGCCAAGTGGCGTAGGGGGTCAGGGTAATAAGGTTTAGGGTTCAGGGTAATGAGGTTTTGGCTTTAGGGCAACAAGAGTAATAATTAATAAGGGTTGAACAAATTGGGTTCACGGTAATAAGGGTTCAGGGTATAAGGGTTTAGGAGTTTTTGGTTCAGGGCAATAAGAGCCTGAGTCCTTCAACGCCAGCAGGACTGTACCAAAACCCTCCTAGTAACTCGCTCGATTGGGCCTATAAGGCCCTGACTAGCGGGCACCTAGGCCAGAATTGAGGGTAGTTGGAGGGTCCAGGTACACAACTCTGATTTTTCCATTTCTTATCACCCTTGAGTAAACAGAACGTGGAATTGCCCAATATCAATATCGTAAAAAGATCCCCGTAAACCAATATTCTGTCTACTTCAGGGGGACCATATCTACTCAGCTACAAAGTATTCGACTTGACAATGATGCAGTCTATAAGGTCCCATGCATCCCTTTGAGGGTCTTTGCAGGACCATGCGTTCACCTACACCACCACCCCTCCCCCTAAAAGGTTTCCCTTTATTCATCCTTAGCTAGCCCTACATTGATCTTGTTCCGTTTAATTACCCTTAACCCTAGACCCTAAATAATAATCCCTAAGCCTAACCCTGGGGGGGATAGCATAGATGGGGCAGTAGGGGACGCAATCACTCCAACACGTAGAAATCGGGGTTACCCGGTTACAGCTTAGGGTTTAGGATCTAGGGTTTAGCGCAAAGGGTCCGTGTAGCTATAGAGTGTATATATATATATTACATATATTATAGGGCTCAAGGGGCCTCCCATATAACTACTCCAGGGCCCAAGTACATGCCATATAGCTACATGAACCCTTTTGGAAGTTTAGGCTTTAGAATGCTAGCATGAAGAGACAAAGTTCCTTGCTGCTATGGTCCTATGGTCCTATGGCCCTGTTGTCGAACATGAGGGGCTTCTCAAAACAAGGGAGCCGGTGGGAACTTCACAAATGTATGGGGGTTCTAAGGCCATCATGGGGGCCGCCTTGGGGAAACAAAGGGATTGGGGAAACAGAGATATCAATTCAGGGTTTAGATGTGTTTAGGGTTTAGGACCCAAACATGGGTTCTAAAATCCAATCCACGAACAATTGCCATTGAAGATGCCCTACAGACACCAGGCGCAATCAGCAAGAAATCAATGCCAGGCAGCAATGTAGGCGCAGGGGCCAGAATAATGTCATTCTTGCATGTCAGCTTAAGCAGCTAACGCTACTGCAGCCCACCCAAGAACCTTATTCTATACACTGGCCCTGTATTGCTACCGGCCTCGTCGATGTCAGAAAATCGCACGACCCCGATGCCCTCTGTGTCGAGTTCGTCCCAAAGCGCCTGCTAACGCGCGTACCAAAGGAAGGGCGCCTACACATTCCGCAAGGATCTCATCCTTACTGCATGGACCCTCAAGCTGGAAGCAAAATTCGACATGTGCCCATTATGCTTGCTTATTAAATGGATGTCTCTTCACAACCTTCCTTGCTCACCAGCTCCCAGTGGCTCTGAACATCGCAAGCGAGCAGGAAAGGCTTACAAAACTGACGTGCAGTCAACACTCAACACACCAGTTAGGTATCTAAACCTCTGGCCTATCTTAACCTCTAGGGTAGACGCGATGGGATGGAGAGAGCGGTAGTAGAGCAGAATCCAAATCTCATAGGGCGCAAGCACCCATGCTTGGGATGACCACAATCTCAAGTACCCCAAAAGGAGTTCCGACCCTCGGGCAACAGCAATTTACACTTACAGCAGCACAGGCTCTACGACTCGAGAATGCCTTGTGGAAGCATCCTTTGTTCTTACTTGCTGCTGGACTATGCAAGTCGTGATAGGTTTGGCCAGGGGGTTTTTTGAACTATCATTATGAGCTGCGCCCAGTCTGGCCATACTGTGAGTGCTAAAATCCTGCATGATCTCACCCTACAGGCCCATGTATCCAATGATTAATAATGAGGTACTAAGGGTGCTGATATCAATTGTAGTACAGGTTCGGGATAAGTATGTGATTATTAAGTACTGGGACGCTGAGGGTCAGTGGCTAATGCTACAGCGGCAACATAGTTCACCAGTCTAACTCCCCCATGGTATTGGTATTAGAGATTCCTCCTTCGGTGATGCGCAGCATGACGAACGGTGGAAAGGTGGGGGGAAACCTGACTCGAGATATCTTAACAATAAGGGGCTAGAAGGCGGTTCAGGGCAGCTGCTAACCCGGTAACCCCTACCCTAAAACCCTAAAGCCCTAAAACTCTAAACCCTAATCCCTAAACCCTGAACCCTAGTAGTTTCCGTTTTCTTTTCCATTATCCCTATATGATCCCAATATAATATAGTAGTTTCCATTTTCCATTAGCCCCTCCCCTTTTGCAGGGGATTTTGCCTGAAGGTCACCATGCAGACCCAGCCTCAGCTCGATGCTGATTTGTGGGTTAGGGTTTAGTACGATTACGATTACTATTACTATTACTATTACTATTACCATTACTATTATTATTACTATTATTACGTTTGGGATTCGGGTTCAGGGTTTAGAGTTGTTTTTGGGGTTGTGACGGGGGGGGTCCTAAGTCTTCAAAGGGGCTACGGCTGTGCTATGAGTAGAGTTAGCCTACTTGTTTGTTTGGGGGTGGTTGGGGTTTACGGCTTAGGGTTCAAGCCTTTCGTTATGGAAGGTCTGTTTGTTTGTTTGGGGCTGGGGGGCGCGCCAATCAAGATTCCACATTCCGACACCTGACTACAGAGTGACCCTAGTTCTAGAAGAACATAAGCCGCCTAAACCTAAACAGTCAGTTGCTGAAATGTCAAGGCCCCAGCACATCTCAAAGCATGGCATACTGCATCCGGTCAACTCTTGGGGTCCGCATCGGGAATATCAGATCAGGGTCTAGGAATTTGAGAGTTTCTGGTTGAAGCGCTTAGGTTTCTAGGGTTTAAGGGTTTGAGGTTGAGGTCTTAGGGGTTTAAGCATTTATGGTTCAGGGTTTCAGCGTGTAGGGGTTTAAGGACTTGGGTATTTAGGGATTGGGGGTACAGGGCCCGAACCTCCGTCCACCATTAGAAACAAAGACAAGCCAAAACTTAATCTCTCCTTTGTGCGCTCGGACCCTACTTGGGCTTACTCGTCTGATTCTGCGAAATACAAGTTTACTATCCATCGTCCTTCCGCTCTTGCTCCCTGCCCCGCGCCTTACCCTATTCAAAATGTTTCCCCCGCCGGCTTTGCGCACTATCGCCGAACGGTGCGAGATGGAGGTCGTGATTCATTTGCAAAATTTCGGAGGCGGTATTGTGCCAGCAATACAGCTAAAGCTATCAAGCGATTCTGACACGATGTCGTGCCAAACTTCCGGATCCTTCGGATTTCACTACAACAACGCTGACATCCCAGGCGGAAGACTAAATGGAAGAACAAAGCTCGTAGAAGCTGCATGGTTTGAGGGTCTCATGGTCGGCACACGGTTTCAGGCTTCAGGACCTTGAGGTATGACTAAAGCATACCATACCTGTCTGAACAAAAAGCGGGCGCAGCAATTGTAGCTCTCATACTACCTGCAAAGGAACCCTCGCAAGGACCCCCAGCATGCCTTGGTAATCCCGGTAACTGCACCCCCCCTCCACCTAAAATGAATACTTCCTTATGGCTATGGTAAGATGCTTGAAAAAACCTTCCTTAGGAGATAGGAGCCTGTATATTCCTATAGAACCCGAAGCCCTAAACCCTAATACCCTCGGTTTGAGAAGCCCGACATCTTAAGCTCCTGGCAGTCGGAAGACGTGCGTGAACTCGCCCCAGCTCAACCGATCACGTCCAGTTGGATCAAGCCCCTGGGTATTGGATGTTGCAATTAAGGTTTAGGGCCTGGTATTGGGCGCTAGGGTTCCGTCAGAGTCTTGCAAGCTTCAGAACAGCTTCTTAGACACCTCCCTTGCTGCGCCTGAAATCCGCCTTAAACTGAAATGCGGTGCTGTTTAGCGTCCCAATACCCACACCCAAATCAAACGACTTCTCTCGTAACATCTCCACAACTACCGCACATTCTGTGAGAACAGCCCTCATGTCCCGCGCACCTCGCGCCAGGCGCGGAAAAGGGTCCCGAACTGGCTGATCATTGCAGCCTGGAAGGCCTCTTTGGTGCTCACCCTGGCAACTTCAAGGTGTGTAGGGCTTATAGGGTGTGGAAGAACAGTAGTTAGCAAGGTTCTGGGTTTAGGGCGTATGGCTTTGTCTAGGGTATAGGGTTCAGGGTTCGGGTGCTGTGGCTGTTAAGTCTAGGGGTGCTGCCAACTCCGGATTGTCAGTTTTGGGGGAGGCGCACTTTGCGTGCAGAACCCAACTCTCAACCCTGCCTGGACCCTTCGGAACCTCCCTTTCCAAGGTTACATAGTCGAGATGAGGGCAAAATCAAATGGGTTGACGCGGGAACCCCCGTTTTTACCCGAATATACATCCCTGTAGGGCTTAAGGTACAGTGGCACCCTAAGAGGGCCTCATTTTTTTTGGCAAACAAACGTGTGGAGGAGACCCCAATCGTCCGCGGGCTCTGGTCGATCGGGCCTTCCAGACAGGCGGCAACAGACCCACAGCCTTATCTGCAATGTAGGAGCCTTACAAATATCCTTAATATGTTCACAGATTTCTTGCGTGCTTCGGGTAGCTCATATAAGCCCAAAGACCCTGACATTCCCAAGAGCCCAGTCTCTATTGCAATTTGGATTTCTTCGCCATTTGATTCTCCATTATAGTAGTTTCCATTTTGCTTTTCCATTACGTAATCAAGATGAAGAGTCGCGCATGTATCCCAGGACACCTGACATAGGGCATCCCTGAAAGGGCCCCCCCTCTCTGAAGGCTGCTTTGAACTGAGCTTCTCCGTTGGAGTTTGGGCTTTTGGGTGCTTTTTTTTCTGTTTCAACCTCCTGGAGCTCTGGGCTTCAGGGTTTGGGTCCGCCGACCTTGGGGGGCGTGTTGGATGGTTGCCGAAGGCGAAGAGGGT